TCTGGGCCTCAATTAGCATTAGCCTTCTGCAAACTACAAACAAAATATTCCCCACACATACCATTCTGAATCTAGTTGTGAGCTACACATTTCAGGGACAAGATCTCTCACTATTAATTGTTTGAAACAGAAGTTACTATGGTAGAGGGTTATACTCCACTAATGAAATGTTTCATTATGCATCCAGACCCTAATTTGACTTGGAAACCAAGCCTTCCCTCCCCCATCCCTCCTAGAAAGAAGTAGTCTTCTAAAGGAAATACACTCAACCTAAAACATCTTCTCTACAAGAAAGAATCTGTAGGTAGTTATGTATTGTATAATTACAAAGTGTTACTATTGGCCCATAAAAATCAGAAAGTGAACATAATTGTTTTAAAATCAAGTTATATTCCATAAAATGACTATGAAAATAAGAGTCAAGGTTTTCTATTTGTAAAGTCTAGAAATTTTCTACATATTTAAATTTCAAACAACAAGGAAACAAAGCAACAGTAGATGTAATCCAAGGCTTCCAGTAGCAACATTTCAGTTACAGCTACTTGTTGAGAAAGACCAACATTTCAGATGATGATTGTTGAATGTTAGCATTTGATTCTCTTGATAATTTGTTCAGTTAGGTAATTAGTTCAGGGCCATTGTTACATTTTATAAACATCATGTTGCTATATCAATTTTCTTGTTTATATATTGTAAAAACAGGCTAATATTGCTATAAGAGTGAGTTATGCCTTCAGACAGAATTTACCTTCATTTACATAATTCATTAAGACCTAATAGATAGAGTCCTAAGCAGACACAAAATTTGTATCTGCATCCACACCCATATCTGTAAAAATGAGCCACGGCTATGCAGGGCTCTATCAATAGAGTACTCAGCCTCAGGCAGATTAACATGTTATTTCAATATCAGAAGAGCAAATATAATATACAATGGAGAATGCTAGTGTAATACCTATAGATAAAAGCTTTTTTCAGCCATATAAGTATACTATATACAGTTAAACCTCAAGTATAAGGCCAAATGTGTGTATTAAAATGTCTAAAAGTTGACAGCCAAAATACAATAGAAGATTTCTATTAAGCAAGTTCAACAGTGAAACTGCACAATACAAGCATCTCTCATTAAAGGTTTACACCCACTAACCTTCTTCGCTCTATGTTAATCCTCAGTAAATGGATAATCTGAAACTGATGTTTTCACAAAGCTGTTGTCAAAGCAACTATGGCTCCTTCACATAAGCGATATAATTAGCTTCATCCTGTAAAACATGTATGCCTAAAATGAAGTAAAAATTCCGTGAGATGTGCAATGCCTCCTTTGACTAGAAACTCTTTTGCTCAGAGAATCAGCCTAATAAGACAAATAGTTTAAAGGTCTGAACATTTGCTATGTTAAGGCTAGAAAGCTCAATGTCCTGAATTAGGCAAATTTAAGTGTAATAAGTCGGGCTGTCAATCACACAACTCACACAATTAACTCAAAAAATTAACCACAGTTAAACAATAAAATTCCAGTTGAAATTAAATATTTTGGATGTTTCTCTACATTTTCAAATATATTCATTTCTATTATATCAAAGAATAGAAAACACACAGTGCTTACGCAATATTTTGATTACAAATATTTGCACTGTAAAAAGACCAAAATAGTATGAGAACTGAAAGATACAAATACTATAGTGCAAACTCTTTGTGGAAATGCAACTTAAAAATGTTGACATTGTGTGTTATATAACCGCACTTAAAAACAAAAGAATGTAAAATCTTAAAAGCTTATAAGTCCACTTGGTCCTCCTCCTTGTTCAGCCAATCGCTCAAACAAGTTTGTTTGTATTTATGGGAAATAATGCTATTTGCTTCTTATTTATAATGTCTCCTGAATGCAAAAACAAGTATGCACATTAGGGATATAGAAAGTAATTTAAAAATCCTAGCAGTTATATGCGCTGTGGGCTCTGCAATATAAAGCTTATTTAAGCTTTATAGTGCAGAGTCCTCAGTGAAGTCTCCCTGGAAGTGGGACTGGCAGTCTCTGACAAACCTGCTCCTAGGGAGGCTTCGCTGCTAGCCCTGAGGCCGGCCCTGATCTGCAGTGAGTCACCTGAGATGGGCCCATCATGGTCAGGGGCTGATCAGGCCAGCCGGAGCAGCCCCTGTCTCTAATGGGCCCCACAGGGCTGGAGCAGCCTACTGCCCACAGGCAGAGAGCTGCTTCAGCCCCTACCAGTTAATCGGAACCATTAAGCCTCACCCATTGAAGGTGAGGCTTACTGGTTAACTAGTTAATCATTTACATCCCTAGTTCCCATGGCACTTTTGTATCTTGCTTGTAAATACCTTGCAATGCCAGCTATGTAAAACATTCATGTGTTCCTTCGTGCTTTGAACACCATTCTAGAGGATATTCTTCAGTGCTGATGATGCTCATTAAAAAAATACAGTTAATTAAATTTGTGACTGAACACTTTGGGTGAGAATTCTGCCATATATTTCATGTGTTAGTTTCAGATGATTACCTAATACATGTTCATTTCAAGAACACTTTCACAGCAGATTTGATAAAACATAAAGAAGGTACCAATGTGAGATTTCTAAAGATACCTCCAGCACTTGACCCAGGGTTTAAGAGTCTGAAACACCATTCAAAATCTGAGAAGGATGAGGTGTAGCTCATGCTTTCAGAAGTCTTAAAAGAGCACACTCCCATACAGAAACTACAGAATGGAAGTACCAAAAAAGAAAGTCAACCTTATAAATTCATCTCTCTCTGTGTAAAAGTTTTACAAAGGGAAAGTTCACTAGGATGTTCATCCTTTTTATCAATGATATAGATATGCATAATGGTCCTCCCCTCCCCAGGTAACAATTTTTTACACTAGGGATATGAAAGTGTCAACAGTTCCACCAAAAAATCTCAGCCGTTACACGTTTACCTAAACAAACACATTTTAAGATCCCAACTGTAGAATGGGCCTGGATTTAAGAGGCTGCAAGTGAAAACAGACATTAAAGTTAGTTACTAAATTAAAATGAATAGAAAAATGCATAGCAAGTTCTAAAGAGGCAGCCATGTTAATCTGTTTCAGCAAAAAACAAGGAGTTGGCTGGCACTTTAAAGATTAACAAATTTATGAGTGTATTAAAGCATAAGCTTTCATGAGCTACAACTCACTTCCTCAGGGCACATCTTCACTCTCTGTGTTGGAGATCAACATTCTGGCATTTGATTTAGCTGCTCTAGCATACATCTGTAAATTGAATGCAGAGGGCAGCTTGAGCTGACGCCTGTAGTCTTTAAAACTGTGAGGAGTAAGGGAAGCTAACAGGGTCTCCTGCTGTTGGAATACGGCCAAACTTAGCTTAAGGTAAATCAACTCCAGCTACATATTCTACATAGCTGGAGTTGTGTACTTTCCAGGTCTAGTATAGACCTAGCCTCAGGTGCTGAAGAAAGAGATAAAGACAGACAAAGGGGGAAAATAGAATACAGAGATCAGAGCATGACTATAGTGCTAATTAAATCATTATGATGTGGCTAATCAACAGTGGTGAGACAAGAGTGCCTGAATGGAAAATTACCTATTATAATGGGAGAACCACTCCATGTATATATTTAGACCTTGGTTCAGGGTGTCAAATTTGCATATGAATTCCAGCTCAGTTTGTTTCTGAAGTTTTCTATCTGAGAATGGCAACTAGCAAGTCTGAAACTGTATGACCTAGCAGGCTAAAGTGCTCCCTGATTGGCTTTTGATGTTGCCTTTCATAATTTCTGATTTCTGCCCATTTATTCTTTTGCAAAAAGAAAGTCTGGTTTGCCCAATCTACATGGCAAGGAGGCATTGTTGGCACATATTACATCAGTGGATGTGCACATGAATGTGCCTTTGATGGCTTAGTTGATATGGTTAGGACCTGTGACCATGTCACTTGGGTAGCTAGTTCTAATTCACTGAAAAACTTATTGCATACAAATTCTTACCCTAAAGAGATGTTCTTGTTTCAGATGCAATCTTCAAGTTAGAGACAAACTCTTTGACTTGGGACTCCAGACTTCTTTGTATCCTTGTGTGCCAGGCCAGCCAAAGACAAAGGGCTGGTAGCTTCGCATTGCTTAAATAGACTCGCCCCCAAGGTGGAAATCTTTTGTTTTACATCCACCTCTTCCATAGAAAAATACCAGGATCAAAATGTAATCCTAGTACTAGGTGATATAGTCACATGTTTTCCTAGAACCTTTCCTACTTATTATAGAACACTAGAACTGGAGGAGTCCAGTTCCCTGCCCTCACAGCACGACCCAATACCATCTAGACCATCCCAGATAGATGTTTATCTAACTTGCTCTTAAATATCTCCAGAGATGGAGATTCCACAACCTCTCTAGGCAACTTATTCCAGTGCTTAACCACCCTGACAGTTAAGAAGTTTTTCCTAATGTCCAACCTAAACCTCCCTTGCTGCAGTTTAAGCCCATTGCTTCTTGTCCTTGACCTCTGAGGCTTAGACAACAATTTTTTCCCTCCTCCTTGTGACACCCTTTTAGATATCAGAAAAGCACTATCATGTCCCCCCTCAGTCTTCTCCCTTCCAAACTAAACAAGCCTAATTGTTTCAGTCTTCCTTCACAGCTGATGTTCTCTAGACCATTATTTATTTTTGTTGCTCTCCTCTGGACCTTCTCCAAATCTTTCTTGAAATGTGCTGCCTAGAACTGGACATAATACTCCAACTGAGACTAAATCAGTGCAGAGTAGAGCAGAAAAATGACTTCTCATGTCTTGCTCACAACATTCCTGTTAATGAATCCCAGAATCACATTTGCTATTTTTGCAAGAGTGTCACACTTTTGACTCATATTTAGCTTATGGTCCACTATGATCCCTAGATCCCTTTCTGCAATACTACTTCCTAGACAGTCAATTCCCATTCTGTACAGGAAACAGATTTTGCCTTCCTAAGTGGAGTACTTTGTATTTGTTCTTATTAAACTTCATCCTATTTACCTCAGACCATTTCTCCAATTTGTCCAGATCATTCTGAATTATAATCCTATCCTCCAAAGCAGCTGCAACCCCTCCCAGATTGCAACTTAATAAGCGTACTCTCTATTCCAATATCTAAATCGTTGATGAAGATATTGATCAGAACCGGTCCCAAAACAGAGCCATGTGGAACCCCACTTCTTATGCCCTTCCAGCAGGAACTGTTAATAACTACTCTGAGAATGGTTTTCCAGCCAGTTATGCACCCATCTTATAGTAGCCCCATCTAAATTGTATTTGCCTAGTTTATCGATACAATAAAGATCATGCAAGACAGTATCAAATGCCTTGCTAAAATCTAGGTATACTGTGTCCACCGCTTCACCCTTATCCACAAGACTCATTATTCCATCAAAGAAAGCTATCAGATTGGTCTGACATGATTTGTTCTTTACAAATCCATGCTGGCTGTTACTTATCACCTTATTATCTTCCAGGTGTTTGCAGGGAATTCCTTAATTACTTGCTCCATTATCTTCTCTGGCACAGAAGTTAAACAGACTGGTGTGTAGTTTCCTGGGTTATTCTTAGTTCCCTTTTTATAGATGGGAACTATATTTGCCCTTTTCCAGTCTTCTGGAATCTCTCCCATTCTCCATGATTTTTCAAAGATGATCGCTCAGATACCTCTTCTATCAGCTCCTGGAGTATTCTAGGATGCATTTCATCTTGCAGAAACTTTTCTAAGTGATTTTTAAACTTTTTTTTTTATTTTATCTTCTAAAACTACCCCATTCCCACTACTATTCACTGTGTTAGACATTCCTTCATCATCAAACTTCTTGGTGAAGACCAAAACAAAGAAGTCATTTGTTTTGACAAAGAAGTCATTTAAGCACCTCTGCCATTTCAAAGTTTCCTGTTACTGTTTCTCACTCCTCACTGAGCAATGGGCCTACATTGTCCTCAGTCTTCCGCTTGCTTCTAATATATTTATAGAAAGTCTTCTTGTTTCCCTTTATGTCTGTAGCTAGTCTGAGCTCGTTTTGTGCCTTTGCCTTTCTAATCTTGCCCCTGCATACCTGTACTGTTTGCTTATATTCCCCCTTTGTGGAAAATTAGTAGTTTCCACATTGTATGTAACTCCTTTTTGATTTTGAGATCATGCAAGATCTCCTGGTTAAGCAAAGGTGGTCTTTTGCCACACTTTCTATCCTTTCTACGCAGAGGAATAGCTTGCTTTTGGGCCCATAGTAATGTCCCTTTGAAAAACTGCCAACTCTCTTCAGTG